ACTCTGCCAAGTGTGTTCACTCTTTTAACTCATGTCTTGCCCTGTACTGGGGATCCAGTAGCAGCTCCAGCTTATCCAATGACCTTTTTCCTTTTCTGGCTAGGCCTCTGGTTTGATGTTATCACAGTATATATGCTGGGCTGGGCAATGAGTTTAAGAGATGTAGCTGAGCTGAGCTGGGTGCTGGTGGCTCAGGCCTGTAATCCTAGCTACTCAGGAGGCAGAGATCAGGAGGATTGTGGTTCAAAGCCAGCCTGGGCAAATAGTTCATGAGACCCTATCTCAAAAAAAACAATCACAAAAAAAGGACTGGTAGAGTGGTTCAAGGTGTAGGCCCTGAGTTCAAACCCCAGTACTGAAAAAAAAAAAAAAAGAAAAAAGAAAAAAAAAAAGAGAGATGTAGCTGGTTATAAGGGACTTTGCTGATTTGCTTGTTCCTGTACAGCACAGGATACAATTACAGGTTGGCTTCCATCTAGCCAGGTAATGCTTGCTGGTTGTTCTTAGGTAGCTCTCACCACTAATACACTGGGCAGTTAGTCTAGGGATGGAGGAGATCAGGTCCTGCTTCCATAGGTAGCTCTGGGCTCTACCCAAACAGTTTTTTTATTTTTTTCTTTTTCTTCTTTTTTTTTTTGGTGATACTAGGGTATGAACTCAGGACCTTGTGCTTGCTAGGCAGGCACTATACCACTTCAGCCACACCCTCAACCCTTTTTGGTTTAGGTTTTTTTTTATATAGGGCCTCACTTTATTCCCCAAGCTCACCTGGACTGTGATCCTCCTTATTTATGCTTCCTGTGTAGCTGGGATGAGGGGTGCATGCTACCACTCCCAGCTTTTATTGGTTCAGATGGGGATCTCATGGACTTTTTGCCCAGGCTGGCCTCAAACCATGATCCTCCCAATGTCTGCCTCCCAAGGAGGTAGGATTAAAGACTTGAGCCACTGTGCCTGGCCCTCTTTGTTTCTTTTAGAGATCTAAAGTTAGATATTTTTTATTTTCTCTAGCCACTAGCTGTCTGTGCTTTTATTGGTGCCCTCTCCTAACTTACTAACTTGCCTGCCTGTCCTTGTAGCCAGGCACTTAAGGATTTATTTCTGGTTTATGGAAACACAAGAATGTGGTAAGTGTCTACAATCTACCATTTCTCCAAGACTATTCTAAACATTTTATGGTTTGCACCTTACAACTTCTAAATCAGAATTATCTTGAAGTCTGATTTGTCTGATTCTGTTCACTATTGTTCCTGCTGGCTGTTGTTTTCTGATGAATTTTGTGATTTCTTAACTAGGTGTTGCTTGTTTTCTTTGGAACTCTATCTGTGGAAATCTCAAGATGTTTGGAATAAAGAACCATTCCTCTAGAAAGGACCTGTGCTAGCTTGTCTCAGGTACCTAAAAGACACTACCATTTTAGAATCACTTTAAATTCTCAGATTGAGGTTTTATAAATACTCACCTAATATAATTAGGGCTGCAAACTCAAGTGAAGGCCAACTGATAGATTTTTAGTGTTGGAAGGAGAAAACATTAGGGTTTCCTTGTAGCCCTCTGGAAGGGGAAGAGATGAAAATAATTCTTGATCACCCTACTATGGAGGGTATGGTCCTTTTGGATTCCAAATTTTTTTGGTGGGAAGGGGATAGAGCTTCAATTAGGTTTTCCATTTTCAATTAGAACCAAAGGTTTTTCTAATAACTTCTGAGCTCCATGAAGCCACAAAGCTATGAAAACTGATTCAGCAAATGTCCTTAAGGTTAATGCCATCTCAGTGCTCTTACTTCTCTGGATTCCCATCTTCACTTTAGTTTTTGATCTGGGCATTCCATATTTTATTTCCAGCAAATTAAGTTAGCATTTTAAATTGTTTTCACCTGGAAGACTGGTATAGGTACCAAGTCTGCCTATTATCAGAGACAGGACCTACACAGTACCTTCAAGAGCAGGAGAATAGTAAATGTATGCCAGGACACCAGGCTTAAAAGACTAGAATTGTTTATTTTATCTCCTTGGACACTATCTCCTATATTCTATCCATCGTAACAAATCCTGCCTTTAAATCTCTCACTTATTCTTGAATACTTGTCTCTACTGTTATCATTCTAGAGCTGGGCTTTATCTCTTTAGCTAAACTAGAAGAATTAGAGGCTCTAATATTAAATCTGCATACAATTAAGTGTTTAAACTTTTGAAAATATTGGTTTTCTTATTTATTATATTAGTCTTTAACAGAATTTCATTATCACTCTCTATTTAATAATGTGTTGAACTCTAAAATGTCAGTTTTCTAGAATCTGGCCCCACTTTTCCTATCCAAATACAGATACTCAGTCTAAAACAGGCCTGTCTTCTCTTTGCCTCTTGCATTAGCCGTGTGCGTTTTTGCTGGCATGCCTTTGATCCACAGTCTTGTTAACCAAATTATACCAATCCTTTTAGGCTTTGTACTTTTGTAAAGTTTTCCCTGGTAATGCCTCCCATGCTTGCTCTGATTTCCTTGAGCTTTGATACATATACTGTATGTCTTAATTAATTTGACTCAATTAGATATGATTCTTTAGCATTTGAAATTAAAAAATAAGCAGCTTAACCAGAATTCTGGTCTAACTCCAAAGTCTGTGCTTTTTCTAATATATAAAACTGCCTCTCCATCTTCAATAAGAAAGAAACCAGACTTCATAAAATCTGATATAATAATGCTTTACATTTAACTGGTTTACCTTAGGTTGACTAGAACAAAACAGAAACTTAAATAGTATTACAATTTTTAAACTTTTATTCTTAAGTAAATATCTTAGGAAATCTCTTCAAAAAAGAAGTCTGCAGCAGTTTTCCAATAAAGATAATAAGCTCTTTTAAATGTAATTATCTCCTCTCTGAATCTCTAATCAAACTACACAAAACGACCGTTCAGGGTAAATGCTACTCCTAAAATTGCAAGCCTAAAGGAATGGCTTAAATATCTAGAAGTTCAGCCAGGGACCTCTCCCAGGTTAAGGAAAAGATACTGAAAGCCCAGTTTTAGAAATTATTCTCATGCTAATAAGCAACCAACAAGTTAAAATACACTATATTACACCAAATTTACCCAATTCATTTTATAATAGTCACTGTCTCTAGACTTCCACAGTGACTTATTTGGGGTTTGGAATGTAGAACCACTTTCCTGCATTAAATTGTTTCCTGCAGAACCATATTTCTTGCATTATTTCTAAAGAATATATAAGAAATTAAACTGAATCTTGAATTATCTTAGATAATTTCTGGGGTCAGCTTTTAATATAAAAATAAGGAATTCTCTTCTCATGTAGACATTTGGAAAGTGGTTGCTAATTCTAGGCCAAATAAGGGAGGACAGAATAGGAAAAGCAAATTGCTCTTATCTCTGTCATACAGCAGTGTTTATCTCTCTTACCTTTCCTGTCCCATCCTTCATCAACACACACTGGCAGACTTCCTAGGGAATGCAGAAATCCAGACAAGAGAAGAAAGCACACTAAAATAGTGGAGGACAGGCTACAGGGATGGGCAGTACCAGACATCATGTGGAAGAAAAGAAGGAATTAACACAGTTAGCCACTCTGGTCAAGAGAAACCAATACTGGTCATTTCAAAGGTAAAGAGATTAGAAGAAAAAAAAAGAAAAAAGGTACTCTACTTTTTTTGTAGCAAGGCTCCTAATTCACTAAGAACAGAGGAGAGTTCCAGTTAATTTGGAAATTTACCTTTAGAGAAACAGATATAATTTAGCAAACAGCACAAAGGGATGAAAGATAAATAAGACTCTTCAGTTTGAAAATTTTAATCAAGAAATAATTATAGGCTTTGAGAACAGAAAAAAATCAGAACTACAATCTAGAAGCAGTTTAAAAGAGCTATTCTATGTTTCTTCTTTAAGATAACATAGACTATTAAAAGCAGTGTTTACATGTAAAAATGATGAGGCATGTGCACTTAAGTTTACTAATTACTTGGCCTATACTATGAAAAATAATAATAAATAATAGTGAGGTTTTAGACAATGAACAAAATAGTTCCCTAAAAGGAGCTTTTCACATCAGGGACAATCTTCTGCACATAAGTATATGGCGCAAACTAACTCCTTTACTCCTGCCCTAATATAGATACCACAGTGTTTAAAACCTCATCATTGCGAGACATAAGTTTCAGATTTAATATAGATTTTGGAACTTAGTATTTTTATTTCCCCAAATGGAGGATGCTATGAAAGTTTGAGGCTACTATACTAGCAGCATGATTTTATTTGTTTGTTTACATTTCTTTTCTTTTTTTTTTGTGGTACTATGGATTAAACTCAGGGTTTCACACTCAAGCACTCTACCACTTAAGCCACGCCCCCTTCCTTTGCTATTAGTTTGTTTTTCAGATAGGATCTGACACTGTTGCTTGGGCCAGCCTTGGATCACAACTGTCCTACCTCCATCTCCTGGGTAGGTATTATAAGTATATACCACCACACTTGGTTTGTTTTTGAGATAGTGTTTCACTAACTTTTTGCCTGGGCTACTCTTGAACCATGATCCTCCTATGTCTGCCTTGCTAGTAACTAGGAAGATAGGACATATGCCACCATGTCCAGCCCTATTTGTTTATATTTCTCATGATAGAAGTAGTTTATAAAAATGGATATCTAGATGGATCCAGAGATGGGAAAAGGGGCAAAAAAGGATACAGAACCTACACAAGACTATTTCACAATCTTGGGTTCAGCTAGTTGCTTTGTTATAAAAACGTTATAAATCCTTTGTATGTGAAATTCAGGTATGTCTTTAAAATTAATACTCAACTTCAACAAAAATCAATTAAAACCAAAACACTTCTAAACAAAGTAAGTGACATTTTTGTCAAGGCTAAATTTTCTGCAAATTTAAAAGGTAATTTGTGTAAAAATGGATTAAGTTTTAAAATTAAAGTGATTTTGTTAATTCTGATATCATCTGAACAGTTTATTCAAATTTAGTAAATAAAATGCATACCTCATATTCTTTTCTGCAAACTTTGGAAATATCATTCTTTGAAGATGCCTAAAAGCCAACAAAATCTTCATTAATGTATTATACATGCTATTAAGCACAGTACAAAAACAATACAAATTAGTATGTCTTAATTGCTGGTGCAATATTCTTTATCTCATTAAGGAAACTCTTAGACTCAAATATTTAATAGTTCCTAAAACAAGTTTCATGCAATGTCTTTAGGACAAACATCATCCTAGGATTTATTCAGTATGTTAAAGCTTCACTGTAACTTTTATGGTTTTAATCTCACATAATAACATGGCTCTTTTGTTATTTTGGAAACTAGATGACTTTGAAGGAAATGTAAATCAGAGAACTTTTTTTTTCTTAAACTGAATTCCACTCTAGTGAATTTTCTTGTGAAGCTCTGCCACAGCGAATATTCTTGTGAAGCTCTGCCAGAGTACTCATATTTTGCTTGTCTTTAACCCTTCATAGTCAAAGCTTTATAATGAATGTATTGAGTCAATTTCTTTAGAGAAGTGCCACAAATGTTGGAGAGGGCAACTATGATAAAAAAATTACTTTTAAATACTTCTCAAGTTTATGACGAAGACGAAGAGACTGATGCTCAGAGAAACTGCATCAGTTAAGTACACATGCAAGTACTTACGTGTATACACACGTAAGAAAAAGAAAGAAAGAAAATGAAGATAATATACCACATCTCATATACTCCAGAGACCAATCCCTAGAAGAGTAACAGAAGGCTTTCCGGCTGTGATTTTAGGTGCATTTAAACAATTAGCTTCCCAGTTAAGTCTACATCCTCCACTTAGAGTAGAGAAGTCAGGATCCAGTTTTCCTATTCTGAGGAGCCACTATGAAAATATGCAATGAAGATGAACTCAGGGGTCTAACATGAATTTGGACTACAGATATATAAAATCAAAGAGAGCCACAACCTACTATTGGAATTACACTCTTCATAGGAGCTCAGAGGGAAAATGAGAACATGTTCAGGGTAAAGCCACGATGAAAGAGGGAAGGGAAGATGAAAACAAAATAAGCCAACTGTGTCAACTGCTGTCATCCAAGCATATCCTAAGTTTACATGACCATTTGGAGTGACTCAGCATTGACTCAGCATGACCTGGGCAAAGTACAAAAGGCCTTAATTCCTATAAAGTCCTTTGTTTGTATACACAGGGAAGGAGAGATAAGAAGGAATAAGAGAAAGCTTAAGGTCTTACATGCAGCTGCCATAACTGAAAAAAAAAAAAAAAAGCAGGAAGTGCAAAAGGAAATGACTTATCCAAGAAATGCCAAGTTTGCAGTTTCCATATGTCACCTCTCCAAAGCTATGAAGCAGGCAAGGTTCAAAACATAAGCACAGCTAAAACCCAAACTATACTCTATGACACTGAAATACCTGATTCCCAGGTGTTACCTGCTTGCATGCCTGACGACACTCCAAGGCAATAGCTAGTTCACAGCAGCCTAATCCAACCCAGCCGTCAGACTTCTTAAATACACCTTAAAAACAAAATGTTCAAATGTTTTGGTTGTAAGTATTGACAAAGACAAATAGCATACCATCATCCATGCTACTTAAAAGTCAAAGCAGAAGTCCATAGGAAAACTAGTCAGGCAGCAGGGCCTCAAAATTAAGTTCCTTCCTTAACTCTTATGTCTAATGCTGTCTGTCTCCTCAACCTCGCACAGCATAATTTATCAGGTCCTTTGTTTTTTCTCTTTTCCCAAATCAATCTAAACTCTCTTTAAGTCTCACTCTTGAGTAGGTATTATCGCTATCAGAAAAGCAAGGGATATTTTCTTTCTTATTTTTAGATTGTTAATCAGACAAAAAGATTCTAATTTAACTTAATAAGCAAACCAAAAACATGAAGTATTATTTGTTCAAAATATTAAATAGAATAGCACAAAATCCATAATTCTGTTTTAAAACTGGTACTTAGAAAATTGCAAGAAAAAGGACTGGCTTTAATGGGCACACTTAATCATGGAGCAAAATGACTATATACTATTTTGGTGCAATTTATGAACAACACCAATTTCCTGCACCAAATTATTATGAAATAAAAAATGATAAAATTATTAAGTCTTTTACTGTTTTTTTTAGATCTATTTTGTAATAATAATCTCAATGAGTGACTCCTAGAGTAAAATTACGAAATATAAGAACTAATTATGAAAAAAAGTTATGCTTGTAGGACACTGCAAATTCCTCATTTCCTTTTAAAAATGCTTTATGCTACTTTCATGTAATATAAAGATATGCAAGTCCACATTTGTATTAAATTAATTATTTACATTTTAAAAAAATTAAAGATTTGAGGCAATAGGTAAAATAGTTCTCCAAATGAAACTAGCAGTACTACAACAAGACGCATTCTACTAAAAATTAAAGCAAAATAAGCAAAAGCGAAAGAGAATGGCTTAGAGGTAAATAAAACTTTCAAAATATAATTATAACATGCCCCCAAAGTTGATTAAATATAAAGCACCCCAATTATAAAAATATTGTACATTATAAGCTTATCTCTATGTGCTTTAAGGGTATAAAGGGCAACAGACTCCCATCTAGCCCCATCGCTTAGTATAGTTTACTCTAACTCTTTGCTATTTGCTATTCAGAATCTTCACTTGTTAGAAAGAATTATGAATAGAATCTGAGCTATTATATATAATTCAGTATATTGCTATTTTCATATAACTAGTAGCTTTAGAAAATAAATTATTCAATGAGCTTTTCCATTTACTGAGACTCCACTATGTTCAAGGTACTCTATTAGGTGCTATGTGGATACAAAATTATGAAAATAGATAAAATATGTGTTATCTCATTATGGGGATTGAATGTGGTACAGACAGTGTGTGTGTGTGTGTGTGTGTGTGTGTGTGTGTGTGTGTGTGTGTGTATAAATTCCAGAATACTAGGTAGAGAAATAGGTACGGAGGCAGATAATTCCAGGAAAGCAAATAACCCAGTTTGTGTGAAATACAAACTTCAAACAATGTGGCAGCCTTTAGAAGTTAAGAGACACATAAGGTATAAGGTAGAGCTGGAAAATGAGTTCCAATTCTGGAAGACTGTAAATGCCAGGCTACAGAGTTTGGACTTTATTTTTGTGGAAGTAGATATTCCCTGAGGTATACTTTCTGAAGGGGTTGGGGAAATTGTGTTGAAACATCAACTATAAGGTTATTACAACATTCTATACCAATGATGTAATAACAAAGACTTGGAATAGAAAAGACAAGATTCAACTCTCTCCCTTTGCAAAGGGAGAGTTAATGAAACTAGAAAGAAAAAGGAAAATAACTTGCAGATTTTTAATCTAATGTGCTTCACAAAAAGGGCAGTTATGAGTTTGACTTTGGTTTTGTACTTCTGATGCTACCTGGATGCAGAAATCCAGGCAGAGATGTCTATAAGGCACAAACAACAAACTACATTTGAGTTTCCTTCCCAGAGCTGATTAGTTAACAGTTCTTGGAGGAACTAAGATTACCAGGGTGCGTGTGGAGAGAAAGGGAGGAGCTCTACACACAGGAATAATCAACCAGTTCTTAAAGCATCTAAGAGGATAAAGATAAGAGAGAATTAGGTTCTAAGGCCAAGGTGAAGTTATAAGGAATAGTGGTTAATAAGATCAAGTGTTTGGGGAAAATCAGAGAGTAAATACCAAGAAAAGCTATAAAAGCTAAGAATCAAGAACCTCAGTGAGCCTTCAGTTTCAGGAGAATGGTAGAACTAAAGACAAGAGGTAAAGACTGACTAAATGAGAATAAATTACACATTTGAAAATGTGGATGCTGAAGGGAAGGAGAGAATAAAAAATATGGAATAAATTAGGTTATGGACACATATTTTATACTCATAAAGTAAGTTTTTAACATTTTAAAGTTTTTAAAATGTTAGATGTTATACTTCTATTGCTTACCTGGCAAAGACGAATTCATACAACTCCAAATTTCAACCTGAAAGTATAATCACCAAAAGACTTTCATGTGGATAACCAGTTTCTCTATATGACAATTTATTTCTACAGAAATTACATACAGTTAATTTGACTATGGCCGAGTCTATACAGCCAATGTTCTAGAGCTAATTTCACATTCAGGAAAGAAAAAAAAAAAAGCTAAGATATAAAATTACAGATTATACTTTTCCATTTCCCACCTAAAAGCAGTAAGGACTAGCTTGGTTACTCAGGCTCACTGTTCCTAAGCACAGAGACAAACATGTCTAATGAGCTGACTTAAGGAAAACATGTCAGTCAGAACTGTTTGACCATCAATTTTTTTTTTTTTACTTACTACATAATAGAGGCCACCATATCCAAACAGGTTCTTTCATGCAAGCTCAGGCCTTTTTGACCTGGCCCACAAGGACCCCAAACACTGAAGATAACCCAAGTTCCAGGGAAAATGTTAAGATACCTGATTCAGACAGGCAAGCAATATCTATAGTGTGCCAGAAAATAGAATGATAGGAATAATATGTCACATATTTCCCTTATCCCAAATTCAACTCTTCAACATTTAAATAAATAAGATTTAGTTATTATAGTTTTCACAAATCTGTCAAAATGTAGTAAGTAAAATTCTAAATTCCAGATAAAATATTACAGTGAAACTGAAAGACTGGAATACATTTATATCTAAGATAAATTTTTAACCTACATCCTAATACATGATAAAAGATGACAAACGGGGCACCGATGGCTCACACCTGTAATTCTAGCTACTTGGAAGGCAGAGATCAGGAGGATGGACCGAGGTTCAAAGCCAGCCCAGGCAAATAGTTTGAGAGACCCAATCTCGAAAATACCGAACACAAAACAGAGCTGGCAGAGTGGCTCAAGTGGTAGAGCACCTACCTAACAAGCGCGAAGCCCTGAGTTCAAACCCCAGTACCACCAATAAAAAAACAAAGAAACAAACAAATAAATAAATGATAACATAATATTGTATCTAGCAATTTGTATGAGGGTTTTTTTTTTTAATACCTACTTAAACATAACATTGTACTCTTGACCACAAGTCCCAATCACATTTAAAAACTTGTTAAACCTAAAAGTAACTTGCATTTGTCTAGTAAATTTCTAGACAAAAGCTTCCATAGTTAAGTAAGACTTACCATTGTTTCTGGGCAATAGTCTGGGGCTCGTTGTAACAAATGTTTTAGTCGGGATTCACTTTTTGAGGAGAAAATCTATTTGACAAAAAAAAAAAAAAAAGTTTTGTAGCATTTTTTTCTGAAGAAAAGACAAGGCACAATTTATTATCTTCTAGATTTATCAGTTGTCTAGAATATTTTCCTTTTATAAATGAAAAACTTTTGGAAGGATATAAATTAAGCTGAGGTAACATTTCTTAAAAGGTTGGTTAGTTTGGGAACTAATCAAGAAAGTCTAAATATAGCAAGCCTAGACCCTTTTCTATTGACTTAAATGGAGAAAATCAGGCTACCAACCTGTTGGGGGTGGGGATAGAGAGAAAGAAAGATTGAGAAAGAAGGTAACAGAAAAGGAAGAAAAAGATAAAATTATTCTAAGTTGTTCTATAAATTGTTTTCAGTTAACTAATGACAATTTAAAAATAAACAATGTCATTCCTTTGATATTGGTGAAGATGAAATTAGTGAATAGGATCATAGCATGTAAGTTCTCCATAAAATACCATGAAATAGACAGTCATCTTTTAATACAGATGCTGAGAACTTCATAAGGTTCACTCACCAGACTAAATGACTGTCATACAGGAATTTAATTAATGCAATTACAATCTGGTGTCTCAGTAAAATATAAGTCATTACATATATCAGACAGACCTTCATGGTTACCTGCAAATAGTCGAGACTGTAAAATCCATGAATGCTAAGGACAACGAAAAAGGATTTATCTCCAGTTAGTTTATTTAGTAACCATTTTTCTCTCCACAACTACCAACTATAGTTAAGTAGTAAAAAGAGCTAGAATATCACCATTTTTCAATCTCTAGTGAATTAATTAATGCAATTAGGTACTTACTGTTAACATCACAAAGAGACTAGATACAGTACCACTTATGGGGAAGACTTAACAAACAAACAAACAAAAAAAGGAGGGGAGAAGATATGGAAAGAGTACAGGGTTTACAAATGAAACAAAATGTTCATGACTTAATAATGCTGAAGCTGAATATATCTGTATACATTTGAAAAATTTACATTATAAAAAGATGGAAGGAAGAAAGAAAGGAAGAAGGAAGGAAGAAAGAAAGAAAGAGAGGAAAGAAGGGAAGAGAGAAAAAGAAATGGGCACAAGAAGGGCAACAATGAAGAACAAGAAAAAATGAAAAGAGAGAAAGAAGTAAATAAATATCATTGATAGCAGAATAGGAAGAAGCAGAGAAAGCTATGTTTTCAAACTCATTTTCCCCACTCCACCCCTCATCTTCATCTCTCCTCAAAAACAAAAAACACAAAACAAACAGAAACACACACACACATAAACTCAAATACTTGAAACATGTTGGAACAGCAGAAAAAACAAGGAACTGAGATGGTAAATTATAGATTTTGAGTAACTGAGCATCCTACTTGGCCTTACAGGAGGTAGTAATATCCTGATGGCTACCAGTATGGTCTACATAACCAGACACATTCAACTCTGAGACTCCACTCCTAAAATCATTAGCTTGGGGACTTGGTAAGTTATTTAACTTTTCTGTATCTCAATTTCCTTATCTATAAAATGGAGATGACATTATCTCCCCAAAGGATGTGGTATAAGAAACTGACAAAATATAGGTTATTACTAGAAATTTTCAAATGATGACTGAGACCATTATTTCTCAAGTACTAAGGCTAAATAATACAACTAAGGGGATGAAGGAAAAGTAAGACTTTATGAACAGGTATTGCTTCAGTGAAACTTGCCTAAAAAGGCTCAATCAGTAAAATTTGAACCTACAAAAAATTTTTAAGAATATTACAATGAACACCCATACTGTATTCACACAATTCATTATTAACACTTCACAACATTTGTATTAACTGTCTATATACATATATTGTTATTACTGTCATTTTGATGAATTATTTCAGAATTCATTATAGACATTATGATCAATTATTCCTAAATCCTATAATGTATCTCTTTAGAACCAAGGACACTATCATACCTAACCATAATACAATGACCAAATTCAGGATCACAATACTGATATAATACTCTCAGTTAATATCCACTCTATATTCAGATTTCACCAAATGATCAATAATGTTCTTTATGACAATTTTTTTTTCCATTCCAGGATCCAATTCAGGATCATGCACTGCATTTCGTTGCATGTCTCTTTAGTTTCTGTTAATCTGGAACAGTTTCTTGGTCTTTGTTTTTATAATAACTGATGTTTTTAATTATAACTAGTATAGAGTATAGAGTGTTGTTTTAAGGAATATTCCTCAGTCTGGGTTTGCATGATTGTTTCCTCATGATTCATGTTAAGCATTTTTGGTACAAATCCTTTAGAAGATACTGGATTCCTTCTCAGGGCTTCATGTCAGCAGACACATATCAATCTGTCCCATGTTGGTGATGTGAATTGTGATCACATGGTTAAGATGCTGTGCTACAGATTTTTCTAAAACAATTAAATTTAATAAGCAGTTACATAACTGATAGCTTCTACAATTATTATCAAGCTTACCTGTTCACATACATCACGACACATTTGGTTATCCTTTGAATGATTACAACATAATGCACCTAAGGAGAAAAAATAAACATGTTGTCTCACTGTTAAACTCTGTAGCCCTGGTTGGTCTCAAATGCAAGATCCTCTTTTCTGCCTCCACCTCCCCAGTGCTGGAATTATAGGCCTGAGTGACCATGCCCATCTATTATTATTCATATTAAACCAACCTTTAATGAACATCTATTACAACTCAAGGGCAGTGTTAGGTTTGAGAACATGGTGTTGCCCTAAAGAAGCTTGTAGTCTAACAGGGGAGACTATAAAGTAATAATAGTAGTTACTAGCTACTGTGTGCTTGCTATATGCCAGAATTTTATAGTTTTATGTACTACTTTATTCAATCCTTATAATTACCCTATGCACCAAATTCTATTATACCTACAATACAAAGTAAAATAAAAAATAGTGAATTTTGTTTCGAACATGTTGAATTTGAGGTAAGAAACCAAAGCCTGGAGTACAGGAAAAACCAAGCCTAAAGATCCAAATCAGGAAGTCATCAGCATAAAGAAAGTATATGGAAGTGACGCTGTCCACTGAGAGTTTCTACTGAGAAGTAAACACAGCATCAAATTCTAAAGAAGAGTGACATGTGAGACATATAAAGAAACAAGGAACATGACTGAGATTCAACAGTCAAGAGGTAGGTCAACCATACAGTGATATTACAACAGAGGAAGAGAGAGTAGTTAGTGTCATGTGCCACAGAGTTGTTAAGACCGAAGACTGAAAAAAGGATATGGATTTACTAATTAGAAGGCCACCTGTTGAACATAACAGGCAATTTCTGTGGGGCTGGCAGAAATCAATGATATCAAGAAGTAAACCTGAGGTGAGGAAGTACAGACAATAGTACAGACTCTCAGAAGTTTGGCAGTGATGGGAGGGTAAAAAGAAAATGGTCCTTACAGGAGTATGCAGGATCACAGGAAGATGTTCCACACTACTACCTTTTTCACAGTGGGAAATACTTGCACTTTTTTATAGATAGAAGGAAGCAGTAAAGAACCAATGCTCCTCTGATAGAACAGTATCTCAGGAGGAATCCAAAGAGAATGAAGTCAAGTGTTTATGAGAAGGTACTAGTCTTGGAAAGAAGCAGGGAATACCTCGACTTCTAAGATATGTATTTGCTTAAAAATATTTTGTGAGCAGCTTATTAAGTACCAGGCATTGATTCATTCAATCAACAATCATGAGTCTGTCACTACAGAGATTACATTCTCTGCAAAGAAGTAGGTATTAAAATAATCTCTCTGTGATAAGAATTTAAGATAGCAAGAAAGACTATGGTAATAATAAATCAAATTAAAGAGTAAGGAGGATTGGAGGGACAAGTGGGTAGATGTTTTATAGAGCAGGGTAGGAAAGCTTCATGACACTTGAGCAGAGACCTTAAAGGAAGTGAAAGAACAGGTCATAGTAAGTTTTCCTAACAGCAAGTACTGTTTCTGATGTGTTTCTCTTAACAGGGGTCCTAGGAATTAGGATCCTTGCAGGAAATACCAAGCTGAGAGTGAAAATGGCACACCTCAAGAGCTGAGACACCAGGAGGACTTCTCTCCCAGGACAAAGACTATCTCCCAGTTCTAGCAACTGAGGCCCACAGCTAAATCTATATTTGTATATTTTGGCTTTTGTTTCACCTTTTCTGTAAGCTTTAGTACTGTTATGGGCAAGGCAGAGACAGTCTGAAAATTTTTCCTCAGTTTTAGCCAAAACTGCAAATAAATTCATTTCCATTTTTTTTTTTTTTTGTATATGCTACGCTGTTTTCTCTTAATGCAGATGAGCATTCTAACCCAGAGCCAGGCCTTACGGTAGGGTTGGATAGTTAAGGGGGTACCCTGCCCCTGTTCCTGTAACAATCACATAATAGCAAGGAATATGGCTAGAAAAGAATGAAAAGAACAGTAGATGCTATGATCAGAGAGGTACCAGGGCTATACCATAGAGGCCTCTACAGGCTACTGCAAGGACTTCCACTTTTCTGCTATGAAGGATGGAAACGAAAGAAACACCTGGAAATACCATTAACTGAAATGGAAAAGACAAAGAAAGGAGATTTCAGAGATGAGGAGGTTATTCTAAATTCAGTGTTTTTTTTTTTTTAACCCCTACAAGCACTGGGGTTTGAATCCAGTGCCTCATGCTTGCTAGGCAGGCACTCTTACTGCTTGAGCCACTCTACCAACTCTTTTTTGTGATGGGTTTTTTCAAGATAGGGTCTCAAGAACTATATGCCAGGGGCTTGCTCTGAACCTCCATCCTCTTGATCATTGTCTCCTGAGTAGCTAGGATTAGAGGCATAAGCCTCTGGTGCCTGGCAGTTTTTGAAGTGATTTGGATGTAACCTTTAGCTAATCATTGGATATCTAATTGCATGAGAGTATTCAATGTATGGGAAGAAAACTGAGAAAGAACAGTACCAAGAAGCCAAATAAGTAAAATGTTTCAACAAGGAGGCATTAACTGTTCTAGGTGTTGCTGTCTAATGAGGATTTGAAATTGAGTGTATATTTTGCAATGTGAAAGATACTAAAGACCTTAAATAAATGTCATCAATGTGAAATGGTGAGATCAAAAGCCTGATTGAATCCAAGAATCTACAGACTTTTTTTTTTTTTTTTTGGCAGCACTGAAGTTTGAAGTCAGAGCTTCATGCTTCCTAGACAGGCTCTCTTATCGCTTGAGCCACTCAGCCAGCCCCATATATCTCTTTTGAGGATCAATATTGTATAATGAATAATTTGACTGGCCTTTGTTCCTTGTCTTTATGATAATGAGGTGACCCGTCTTCTTACCTAGGTAGCTTCAGGTTGGGGCTGGCCATGTCAGAAAGACTAGCCTTGTGACTAAAGCGTTGAGACTTTGAGTCACATATTAACTTGACCTCCCAACTTTTGGTGGAGGGGTTAGGGGCCGGAGTTTGAGTTCAACTATTTGACCAATAATTCAATCATGCCTACATAATGAAACTCCAATTAAAAAACAAAACAAAAACTCTGGACACAGAAGCTCACTGGAGCTTCCCTGGTTGGTGAACACAATGATATGGTGAAATGATGCTAAGTGATTCCACCAGAGGGAACAGAAGCTCTGCAATTTCTCCCAGACCTTGTCTTTATTTGGCTGATCCTTCTAATTTGTTCTTTCTTTCCTTTCCTTCCTCCTTCCCTCCCTCCTCTCTCTCTCTCTCCTCTCTCTCTCTCTCTCTCTCTCTCTCTCTCTCTCTCTCTCTCTCTCTCTCTCTCCATCCCCCCGTCCCTCCCTCTCCCTTCTTCTCTCCTCTCTTTTAGGGACCATGCCATCTAACTTGTGGGGTATAGGCTAAATCTGGGTGTCAGTGGCAGACTGAATTGCAATTGGAGGTCAAACAGAATATAAAAAAAATGAATGGCCCTTGGAAAGGGATGTGGACTCAAGAGGCATTGTATTTAAAGACAGGGACACAACAGTGAATAAAAGTTATGCTGACTTCAGCCAGGTTGAGTCTTATGGTAGGACAAAATCTAGACAAAAGAAAAGGATTTAAGAACACATAAATGAAGAGGGAGGTTGACAGCAAGTACTTTCTCAGGGAAATAAAAAGTGGGTTTGAAAATAGAGTTGATACATGTAGGATTGGGGGCTTGAGCTGAAATTGTCAAGGTCTGAACTAATAAAGGAGGTAACTATAGATGTGTTTCTCAAACTTGTGCTCAAAGGAGTACTACTTCATTATTTGTTAATGTATACCTCAAGAGAAAATGTTTTATATTCAAGTGAATTGGGAAAGAAGGATTAAACATTACACAAATTCTTTACTGCAGGACCTTACGAAGCCATTCATACACTAATACATATTATTAATCTGCTAAAAAAGGACCTACTACACAGATTTCTTAAGAACATAGAACACTTTTTTCATACCACTTATTAACATCTCAAAATGACAGTCTGAGAAACATCAAGGTAGAGAAAAGAAAAAAAGATTGCCAAGCAGCATTATGGGCCTAGAAGAATTCATAAATTAGCTGCAGAGATAATGAGCAGGGACACATAACTATTCCAGAGTGTGAAAGACTGGAAAAAGAATAGAGCTGGATTGATCAGGGGCTTTCTAGGACTGGCAAGTCAAAAGAGACACAGAAGTAAAAATATTATATTTTAGGCAACTAGGTCTGGTATAATGGCTTAAAAACATTATATATCATATATAAATCTATCAATCTATCTATATATATATATATACTAATATATGCAACACAATCTTCCATCTAAATAAAACAAACAATTTCAGCATACAAATGGTATAAAAGAGATTTTTTTGGTTGAAAGTTGGATGGCGAGAAATGAAAGAATAAACCAAATGAATAAAACAAGTCTGCTTACAACAACGCTTCTGAGTTTGAAAGTGCAAATTGGTTCTCCACAAAACAATGATAAGGTCTACGATATTACTGTCATGTTACCATAGATAGTTTGGTCTCATAAAAGACTATTGTGGGGCTGGTTTTCTAATACTAATTTTAGGGAAAAGTTTCTTGAACTCCTATACATTTCACTGAATTCTGAAGAACATACAAAAATTTCACATTTCAGAAGAAAAAAGTGCTTTGATTCTAACTGTAAAAGCTTCTTACTTTCTAAGAAGCACAAAGCACTCATGAGACTTCCTCTCAGTAGCCCTGCCTCCCCTGCAAAGTCACACCAAACTGTTAAGTCACACACATCTCCTAAGACTGTTCTCCTCAATCTCCTAAGAATGGGAGGATGGGCAAGAAAAAAGGGCTTCCTTGTGTGATAGTGATGTGCTCTTCTGAAGTGCTCTAGAAGTTGCCACTTTCTACTATCCTTTAACACAGAGGTCATATGAAGGCAGAAAAACCAGCTGATCTTAAGTAAAGATAACTCAGAGTAACATATGGTCCCAATAAACACAGGCTAAGCAAAAAGTAAACAATCAGGCAGACAGGAGTCTGATTTGGGCTTAGGGGTTTTTGAAAAACAGTTTCTCGGAGCAAAGGTC